CCAGCACTTGCTCCTGCTTACATCTCTTCCAGTGACCTTACCCAGGGGCAGGATCGGTAGGGAAGACCTGGAAAAGAGGATGGGCATGGTGACAGTGTCTTTATAAGTTATTGATTTGAACCTTATCATACATTTTAAATTTGCCCACTTAGAAAGCATTCACATGGCAATTATATGCATTTATACACATTTTTCTAAACAAATTTAAATGCATGTAATGATTGTAAATGGTTTATTGCACACTTTGCCTTTTAATTGTGCATTTAGTGTAATTACGTTTAGAAAAAAAGTAGAAATCCATGCATCCACAAATTTCTAAATGCATGTAAAGACAAATAAAAGGAGGTATGGAGGGAGCGGTCTGTATGGGATATGTAAATGCAAAACAGTTATTATACTTTCAGATCAGTTTCTCCTGCATTTAAATAAAACAAACAGGAGGCCCGTGTGAATGAGGCCGTAGTTTCCTGTATCTGTTGAGCTTTAGTCAGAGGGTGAAAGTTCATTCAGTGTCTAAAAATGGATTCCTTGTCAAGTGTCTGACCTCACTTTCTGACTCCCAGCTACAAGGTTTGCAGGTCAGGCAGTTAACAGAGCAGACTTTAGGACACCAAGGACATAAATAAAGCTAAAGGGGCAGTAGGTGGGCTTACACAGTTATAATAATTTCGTTTTAAATGTTCATTTGTGTATATATAGAGCAAGTTGTGACTGGTTCTCTTTAAGCTTAAGCAGGGGTGCCCACAATGATTGTGTTAAGATCTACTTTTCAAATGACGAGCTACATGAGATCTACCAACGAAAAAAAAACCTCCCTCCCTCTCTCCTGGTTGTCTCTCCTTGCTCTCTCTCCTGGCTGTCTTTCCTCAGTATCTCTCTCTCTCCTGGCTGTCATTCCTCGTTTTCTCTCCTGGCTGTCTCTCTTCGTTCTCTTGGCTGTCTCTCCTCTCTCTCCTTGCTCTCTCTCCTGTCTCTCCTCGCGCTCTCTTCCCCTGGCTTTTTCTCCCCGCTCTCTCTCCTGGCTAACCTTGCTGTATTTTGCAAACAGTGTAGTGCAACAGGCTGTGTAAACTTAATATTCTTTGATGTAATACATAGCACTTCAACCACCAGTATCCACCAGAGACGTGTCGGGGAGCTTGGCTCAGCAGACTCAGGCTAATAGGTAATCATGTGTGCACAGCTAAATAAATATACCAAAATGGAATAAAGGGGCCACCATTCACACCCTTCGTGATCTACCTTCATCAGCTTTGAGAGCTACTGGTAGATCACGATCTACCTAATAGGCACCCCTGAGCTAAAGGATACAGAGACTTGTGCACATTTTACTACAAGTGTTCACCAGAAGTTGCTGTTGAAGGTGAAATCTTTGAACTTGAATCCTGATCTATGGCTAGCTATAGACCTAACACATCAGATTTAAGAAATACCTTTTGTAGGAGCAATCTTTAATTTACAAAAACCTTTTTGTAAACGGCACTGATCTACCAGAAAGATTGTTTGCAAAATGCATATACAGAATTGCCAGGTAATATCAGATACAGGAAACAAGTATGTGTTTTATGTTCAATATTTTGATTTTCTGGGTATTTCAAAATAGACACTAAAAAGGCCATTAGTACAATGGAAACCAGATGAAAAATTCCAGCTCTACAGATCGTCAAACCTTCAGCTCTCTGTCTATGGGAGAAGAGAAACAGGATCTGTAATAAAAAGACTGACCTATCATTCTGTGTGGCTGGGAGATCTGCACCACATAAACTTTACATAAAAGGCTGAACTTTGATCTTCTCTTTCAGGTCAACCACTGGATGGAGTTTAGTCAGACTCGGCTGCAGGACAAATCCAACTTCCCTGCTGCTCTACAAGAACTGAACCACTGCCTCTCCCTCCGGACCTACTTAGTAGGGGACTCTCTGACCCTCGCTGACATCAGCGTCTATTCCACCTTGGCAGGTACTTTGATACCATAATGCAGATTGGGGCAGGGGCTGAAAGGGTAATGATCTGATGCCATCTGCTGTTCTTATATTGGAAATAGAAACCAGTGGGTACGCATCTGCGTGAGAGAAAAACAAATGGAAGAACTAAGTGCCAGGTACACTGGCAACAATTTGCCAGTTACAAAATTGCTGTGCAGAGCAGATAAATAGTCACCTGTTTCTATGTGTAGCTCCCTTGTCGCCCAGATGGGTGAGATGTACCTCTGTCACCTGCGAGAGAGGTTCTGTAAGCTTTTTTTTGTTAGCAATGAAGCAATGCTTCCCTCATCCAGCCAGTACATAGAAAACAGTTGAGTATTTTCTCTACACTTATTGATGATCTGTCACTGGCAGAATTGCCAACGGACTAAAAGCCTTAGACCAGAGGTGTCACTCAAATACACAGTGGGCCAACATTTCAAAAATGCTCCAAGTCGAGGGCTGGGCTGGTTCACACAATAAAATACCGCGGCCTATACAGTATATCACACAGTATAATACAGCGGCATATACAGTATATCACACAGCATAATGCAGCGGCATATATAGTATGTCACACGGTATAATAAAGCCTGTACATTTAATTATTAAAAAGCATGATACATAATTACAATAAAACATTTTTTTAAACTTTATTTACTTTCCCTTTAAGAAATTGCCTAAATATTTAAATAATGAAAGCCAAAAACAGTCATTAAATAATACAGTGCATTTACAACAAAAGAATTGACTTACAAAAAAAGTTTTTCCATCTGGTGCCCACTTCTGTGGATTCTTCCTCTGCTTTCTCTCCTCATTGCGGAGGCCCTTTATGTGTCATAAAGATGGCCGCTGCGTGGCGGCCATCTTTAAAGCTGGAAATGTACCGGCCAGATCTAATGATAATTAAATATTATCATGCGTGCCAAAGATAATTCCACCGCGGGCCCGTCTTGTCTTGAGTTTGACACCTATGCCTTAGACTATGTTAAATATGCCCTGTACATACAATGTATAGTATACTCCCCAATCTGTTTGATAATGTCCATTTACAAAGCACTTTGCTTGATGGCACACATTATACACGAGAAAGCAGAACATGTGCAGAGTAAGCTGTGCCTCCCTGTCTGTAGGGTCTGGCAAGATCTACACTTCAGCTGTTTTCCTGACTGACTCTAGGAGGAATGAGATTGCTGACCTTGCTAGTTTTTTCATGAAATGTCATTCTAAATAAATGAATTGTCAAGCTGGTGTAAATTGGTTAGTATGAGATATGTAACCAGGCATAACAATCTCTTTATGGAGCGGCCCTAGCCTAGAGACTTTCTGTGGTCTAAAAATTAGGTGTGCGTAGAGATCATTTTCCTTTCTGAAATATAGTGGCTATAATTAATCAAAGGGGAAAGTTTATTATCTGTGCTCTCCCTGGGAGCTATTTTCCTGTGTACTGATTTAAACATTTTTATGTTGTGAAACTTACCTTTTACTCAAATTTGAGCTTCATTTTCAGGACCTCTCCCCTGCAGAGCCCATTCCCTTTCCATTGTCATCCTTTTATCTACATGACCGTGCCCCTGCAAAGCCCCTTCCCTTTCCACTGTCATCCTTTATCTACATGCCCCTGCAGAGCCCCTTCCCTTTCCACTGTCATCCTTTATCTACATGACCCTGCCCCTGCAGTGCCCAGTCTCTTCACTGTCCCGTCTCTACATGATCCTGCTCTTGCAGGGCTCAGTCCCTTTTAAGTGTCTTCTTTCAACCACACAGCCCTGCCTCAGCAGAGTTGAGCCATTTTCCATTTTTGTCTTTGGATTCAAATATACTTTAATGGCGACAATTCCTAACCTAGATTAGATAAGTATATTTCTCCTTAGTTCCATGAAGTGCTATACTGGACTCCTAAATCCAGAAATTCACTGTTACGTATGTTACAATTACATGAAACCCCCCAAATCTAGAGGGCTTGTTGCTGGTTACCCCCTTTTAGTATCACACCAGACCTGTGAATTAAATTCAAAGATTGATAAGGTAATTGTGATCATTTATGGTATGATCCCTGCTAGGTTTCTGTTACTGTCTATTGTATTTCCATATCAGTCTTTACACTGCTTTATCAAATAAGTACTGTATTGCTCTCACTCTCTGTGTTTTCCTATTTTGTGCAGTCAGCAGCATATGGCAGGCAGAGTTAAAACAGAACAAAGCTGCTGTCAATGTCCGACGCTGGTATACCTTTTTGAAGCCCAGAGTTCCCTTCCACGGGGAGCTTAGTGTCAGCGTGGCTGCGGTAAGTAAATACATCACCAATAAATCCATTGATCCTGCTTCCTGTCAGTCTTTGGTGTTGCTCTCGGCATTAAAGGGAAACAATGTCATTTTCTCTCTCGCTCTAGATCAGTGTATGTATGCGTGTGTGTTTTATAGATATTTATAAATATATATACTGTATTTTGTCGCTCCATAAGACACACCTGACCATAAGACACACCTAGGTTTCGAGGAAAAAAAAAATATTCTGAACCAAATGGTGTACAAATATATTTAAGTGAGTAGGAGGGTAGGGGACGCTGGTACTACATGTATTGTTTAGAGGCAGTGAAACAACTTTATTTACAGCCTCCACAATGCCGCTGCCCGGGTTGCCTGTGTCTAACTTCTGCATGCTGAGACTCCTCCCTTTCCCTGTCATGTGGCATGACCCAGGAAGGTGAGAAGCCGGTCAGACACAGAAGTTAGACAGCGGCAGCACGGGCAGCGGCATTATGGAAGAGCTAAATAATGCTGCTTCGCTGGCTCTATAAGTAGTGCAAGCAGCCCCTACCCTCCCATCGCTCATGCGAGTGATTACCGGTACGCTGTCAGCCCCACCGCCTTAGCTCTCACACACACACGCATCACCCTGCGGGAGCCGCTGGCCGCGTGTGTGTGTGTGACAGCTGAGGCGTCAGGGCTGCTGGTGCAGGATATTTTTGAGACCTGGTAGAAATATGCGCTCCATAAGACGCACTGACATTTTTGCTTACCTTTTGAGGGGAAAAAAAGTGCGTCTTATGGAGCGAAAAATACGGTACATTGTTTTCTTTTTAAAGGGAGAGCATCAGTTACTTACGTTAAGGTGCACTGTCCCCCAATTTAACCACATACTAAACCATACTGCGTAAAGGGAGGGACCACTGCTCTGACTCACTTTTATGCTTGTTTCAGCTTGAACTACAGAATTTTCTAAATAGGCCTTTTACAACATTAGCTAAGGAGCTCCTGAAAAACCTGAAAAGGAGCTAAGAGTACCACTAGCTGTCTGCATATGAAAATATTTCTTAACACTATTTATATATTTTAATGACTGAAAAAGAAGGAAATTGTTTTTACAAATTTTTTTTTCTTCCTATTTTAAAGATGTACACCCAACCTTGTACCGTGTGTGTTTTTTTTTTTTTCATATGAAGCAGCAACATGATTGGTTTTCATGTGCCTTTTCTTTCTAGCCTGCTGAAAAGAAGCAAGATGTTGGCAAGTTTATTGAGCTTCCAGGTGCAGAGATGGGGAAGGTGGTGGTGAGATTCCCCCCTGAGGCCAGCGGGTAAGTAACCTGTGTGCAGATCTAGCAGGTGCCTTCCTTTCATCTATTTTTGCTATTAGGTGCCGATATTTTCAAGTCTGTCTTCCAGCATGCTCCCTTGCCAGTCGTTACTCTGTTAACCTGGCTGTCATTAAAGGGTTATTAAACCCTTGTGTGTTTTTGCATATATCTACTGCTAGCAAGTAGTAGATATATGCAAAAACTTTTAAAAAGGGTTTAAACTTACCTTGTGTCTTTGCCGCGCGCTCCCGTCCAAACATTATTATACAGGATTTATATAGCGCCAACAGTTTGCGCAGCGCTTTACAATATAGGGCAGACCTTACAATCACAATACAATTCCAGACAAGATGGTAAGGAGGGCATCTGAAGAGTCTCGGGTGGCCGCAAAGTATCTTCGGGCATGCACATGCGCACTTCAGATGTGCGGCCGGGAGACGAGGAGAGACACAAGGTAAGTCTATGGAGCAGCGTGCGCTCGCACAGACACCGTGGGACATCGGATAATTTTTCTCAGCATTGACGGGGCTTTCAATTGGTATTGTATGTGAATATAAAGTTTTTCGATTTTGTGTGTTTAAATTAAAATATGGTCTATTTTCAAGGAGCCCACATTTTGATTTTCTACTATTTAGAAACGAGGTCTTTAAACCATTAAAACAATTAAAAGATTGTCAAGTAGAACTCCAGCTGAAATGTAATTTTTTTGTTTAAACTATGAGGAAAGGGTTATACCCTGACAACTTTTATGAAAGCCTGCATCCTTGCTGGAGAGATTACCAAAATGCATTGGTGTGAACAAGCTCTTAGCATTCATCCTGAAAAATAGAAGTGCACCTCCTGTGCCTAGGC